TTGTAAGTTTACGTTTGTCAAATACCTATCATACGTGGTGATTAGCAATAACTCATAATTTTAAAACCACTGATGATAAGTATATCATGATAATAGATCGGTTACGGTCAGTCAGTAATTTCAATCATTTGAAATTCTTTTAAAAGAAAGAAACATAATGTTGATTTTTGATAATTATTGTTTCTCCAGCTCTACTGGTCTTATTTTATATTGTACGTTTCTTCTTATTGAAACTTCATTCTTCTGTGTGACATTTGCATAACACTTAAACCTTCAACTAATGCCTTTATCTCGACTGACTCATAAGCATCGTTGCTGCTGGCAACTAATCTTGGTTTGTGTTCTAATATTACTGAAACCCTCTCTGAATCACTTGCTAATTCTGCATTTAAGCGATAAACTGTGATAGTACATTTATAGAAATTACTTGTGAAAGTAATTATTTTGAACAAGATTAAGACTCTTGAAATAATTTTTTTGAGTAAGTAAGTAACATATTTTAAATGTAAATATTAAATTATTTTTTTTTATTTCTTTTTAAGATTTGAATTTGATTTTATTTTATATATAATTTTGTTTTTTTCTGTGTATAAATTAAGTAACAAATTTTGTTTTATCTAAAACTTAAAGCTACGCTTAATATGAGCAATAACAAAACAATTTGTATAAAATAAGTACATACAATTTTCCTCTAAGTACGAATTAATTAATCACAAATTACATATAATTAAAAAGTTTTTAATTTACCTACAAATAATATAATAATTAAATAATTTATTGTTTTAATAATCAAGCTTTTTTATATACTTTTGATTGGGCTAATTGATCAATATTAAATAATATACAACAGATATTTCAACTACAGTTTGTAGACACTTTCAAATGAGTACCCTAATATATATATTATCCTTCAGGTAAGTACCCTGATACATAGATATATATATATATAGTCGAAATTTCGGTTACAATAAAATATATTTTAAAAACTAATTTAATAATTGCGTTTTATTTAACACTGAACAGTTAGCCCCTTAAAAAAAATATAAATAAAAATTAAATTAAAATCTAAACTTAAAAATTATTGGCATAATGTATGTGTAGGCTGCTCTAGATAGCGTGCTCTATTGAACCCATAGATCTTTTGCGTTCATTAACCTCGAAACGCTGCATAATTTTCGCCACAATTGTTGAGGGTGGTATATCAGGATTGCCAGTCAAACCACGATAGCCGAGTACACTGTGATCTGCTAAATTACTTGCCAATTGAAGACGTTTAACAAAGGCGTCCGTATCAATGCCACGTACTTGTGAGGGCTTAAGAAAACGTTTTGGTATGCGTGAAAGTATATCTTCTGAACCGACTGGTCCAAAACCTAAATTTATAAGTATGGCTTCTGGATCTGGCTTACGTGCTTCCAACAAACTATCCACGCTGGAATAATGACTAGAATCTGAATGTATAGAATTATCACGCGGCAGAAATACAAAATTATGTCGCCTACTTATTGGACTCATATCGGCGCCAGTAGAATTCGAATCAAAGGAATCAGCATGTTTAAATTGATGTGATTTATTTGTAGGCGATGTAGGTGATGAAGGTGAATCTGTTGTTATTGTTGTACTTAAGCTATCGTCCTGTGATAAGTGACTTTTTTGATATGGCAACTGACGCTTTGTACGTTCATTTGTAGTGATATTCTTAGGTAATATTTGTGTAAGTGTACTTTCAAAATCTAAAACATTTTCACAAATTTCATTCACTTCATATTCATCATCTTCATATTCCTCTTCCGCCGCATATTCCATATCATCATCTAATTCTGCTGTTTTTTGTCGTTGCAATTGCCTTTTACGTTTCAATTGCAGTGTATTGGATATGGTCACAGCATCTATATTATCACTACTTCCGCTAATGGCTTGCTGGATTTGTTGTTGTTTTTGTAGTTTACGTGTGCGCCTTACGTTTTTCGTTTTACTCAACGTAATTGTGGATAGTTTGCTGTTGATGACGTTGTTGTTGTTGATGTTGTTGTCATCTTCACTTAACTCAAAGTGTGTGTAACTTTGTGAGCGCTCCATTGTTAGTGCTTATTCGCTATTGGCAAGGATTTGAGGTAGCTTCAGAGATTTGTTACAGTTTTAGCTTTGAGTTGTTTTTGTAAATTGTAACGAATATGAAGAAAAATGTTATAAAATTGTTGTTGCTTATTATATGTTATAAGTTTATTTTATTTTTACTTCGATTTTTACAGCATTTAAGTTAAGTACGTAATTAAAAATAAGCTTTGCGGTTTCGGTATGGTGCCTTCTGGTTATGGCTGCTCAGGTTTCATGTAGTGTTTTATAATTATTTTTAATTTTTTTTTAACTTGGCATTAGCTAATCTTCACTGGCTCGTGTCAAAAATAAAAAAACAATTGAGACAAATGTATGATTTATTTTTATTTAGTTCAGTTTTTTTTCCCTTTGAAAAATTAATATTTTTATAATTCTATTGCTGAAGTAATTAGCCAAAAACACTTGTGTTAATTGTTCAATAAATGAAATAATTTTTTGTTGTTTTTTTTTGTGTTTTTTTGTTAATATATTTTTTATTTGCTTATTATGTACTTTGTTTATATGCCGCTGTCAATGTATTTGTTTTTATTTAATTTAAAATGTGTTAATCGCGAAAGCTCCGGAATAATTCTTGAGTCTGAAACTCGTCTTTAGTCTTTAAATAATGAGAAATAAAATATCGAATTATTTCTGCTACGTTATTAACTATTTACGGTAGTTTTCATAAAATATTTCTGTTTTGCAGTTTTTGCACTTTTAAGTGTATTGGCATTGAATTGCTTTTATTGTAGCTTTAAGTTTTTTCCGTATTACACTTCAAAAAAACAAAAAACAAAAAACAAAAAAAAATCAATCAATTGTTTTGCTTTTGTTTGTTATTAATTATATGTAAAGAGTTTGTTGTTGTTGTTTTTTAACTTTGTTCAATAACCTCGTGACCTTTTTTGTAAAACAACTTTCAGTTTTGCAAAAATATTTTTATTTTTATTATATTTATTTTATTAGTTTATATCAATTTCATAAATAATTTTAATTTAACACAAACTATTATTTTAAGTAAAGTTTTTATTTTTTTTAATTCATTTAATTTAATTTAATTATTTTATTAGTCTCCACACAAAAAGAAATTTTTATAAAAATATTTTTTTTTTATTTTTAGTTTAAATTTGTTTATGATAATTTATTTTATTTTATTTAATTTCTTAAATTTTTCCCGCTGTTAAGCGTAAAAAGTTCCAACCGAAAGCAAACCAAGTCCGCTTGTCTCTGAAACTGTTAAGTACGAAGCGCAGCTCATATGCTACTCTTGTCAACTGTTGTTGTACGTTTATTATCGCCTACTAAAATCCCCTTGAAAAAGTTTTCATTTCGTTTTTTTCTGTTTTTTTCTTCTTTTATTTGCTCTCAGTGTATGGAGCACGCCATACTCATATAAAAAAGGCAAAAATATTAAACCAAATTCCAACGTTGTTAACGTGATCGCTCTTCACTATTTACTCTCATTAATCTTAGTATTGTTTGCTGTTGCTGTTGTTGTTGTTGTTTGTTGTCGATAACTTGTTTAGTGTGTGCAGGAGTGGGCTATTAAATATGGAGCTAAGAAAGCTCAAGCGCTGTTGGTTACTTCGACTCTTTTTGCTAATAAGTTTTAATCGCGCTCTTTGCTGTTTGTCACATTTTTTTTCTTTTTTTGTTAATTTTTGTAATCGCTGTGCTTATCATTTTTCACTTTTATAAACAAAAATAAAAGAAACGATCGTAAATAAGGCAAAGGCAAATTAAATTGAGTCATATCAGTTTTATTTTTCCGTGTATATTAATTTATTTTAATAAACAATTTTCACTCTATGGAGCGTAGTATATTTTAATTATTTATTATTATCAGCTGTAGTTGTATATTTTAATAATTTAAAAAAAAAAATTAAAAAACAATTATTATTTTACAATCACAAAAAAAAACCAAAAAATAGTTGCCAAGTTAATCGTTTTCTAATCTAAGTGAAATCACGATTTTAGTTGATGACTTTTCATATGATTAGGTTGTGATTTTTGTTTACAAAAGCGTGCTCTAATCATTGTAAACAAAAATAATATAACATTTATATAAAGATAGTATGATCTTCGAAAAGGATTTATGATCATACATATATTGAAGATGATCAGTCACATGTTAGCCAGTGATTTTTTTTTACAGAAACGCGTTCACACGGAAGAGGTAATAAAGCTCTGTAAAGTAGGTTTCATACTACTTTTTATTAACGCAACAGGGCTTAGAGACCTGCTCTAAACCCAGGAGGAGGTACAATAGACCCGACTGTGGCAGTATCTCATTCCCTAACAACAAAAGTAATAATAATAAACGTGTTCACAGCATATACGAGTGTTATGAGAAAAATGCTAAACTATTTGTAGAGAAAACAAGTTTATATTAAGAAAAGGAGTTATGATCATATATTAAGAATCATGATAAGTCAGTAATTTTTTTTAAAGAAGCGTGAGACAAATAGTTATTAAAATTAAAATAATACATCACTTGTAGAAAATATAGTTTTATCTTAAAGAAGTATATATGTTCATATATTAAAGATGATCTATACATGAACTTAATCATAATAAACCTGTGCCTGTTTAAGAATGTGTTAAGACAAAAATTTTTTACAATTTGTCTATACTAATTTTTAAAAATTTGTATAGAAATAAAACTATAACTTTAGTTTTATATAAAAAAGTATTAAACATATATTGTTTATAATCATTTATATGGATTTATGATCATATATTAAAGATGATCTATAGATGAAAATGATCATGAGTAGCCAGTAATTTGTTAAAAAAATTGTGTTCCAGTCATTAATGTGTTAAGATGGAAATAATATAAAGTTTGTAGAGAAAGTAGTATAATGTAGTAAATAGTAGAAAGTAGTAAATAGTATAATGAACACTTATGTTTTCTTAAAGGAAACGTGTTCAATTCAAGAATGTAAGAAAAAAATAAATAATGTGATTAAAATAGTTTAAGCCTAAAAAAAGAACTTATAGTCATGTATTAATCATGATCAGTTCTTTGATTGTGGTCTATCATTTTTATTACACAAGAAAATGATCAATGAAATTATAAAGATGAAAATTAGTAGGATTATGAATATGTATTGATTTTGACCAGTCACTTGATTATTAGCCTGACAGAAGTCTGTTCATATTAAAATTATGTTAAGACAAAAACAATATATAGTGTTAGGAAGCAACAGTTTAATTTTAAATAAGGGTTATATCTATATTGAATATGATCACACATAGATATTCTTTACGTCGGCGTTATCTATATAGACTATTATAGTATATAATAATATATAAAAAAAAATAAAAACTAGTCTACAAGCTTTGTTTTTTATTCCCCATTCCACTCATTGAAGTAAATTTGTGACTACGAGCCTTAAAGTGCATACTAGTTATATTTTTATATCTTATATTAGTTATTTAACTTCCCAAAGTTTACATAAAATTAGAATTGATAGGAAAATATTACACGTTAAAAGCAAATGATTGAGTATACCAAAACAAAAATGTGATAAAAGTATAATAGATAGATAAGCACTTCAGCTCAGATTTGAAAAGAAAGGAGTTTAATTTTTTTTATTGAAGATGTTATCTGAACATATCTTCACCAACGCTCAGATAGTATTTGTGAAGAGATATGAGTGCAAAAATTATGTTGTTATTTTTTAATGATTTTTAAAAGTACTTCGAAGCAACGAACACAATTCAAACCATCTGATGTGTCAGGAAGACTAATATGTCAGAGAATCAGGAAGACTGTTATATCAGACAATTTCTTTCTATAGGATATTGCTATTTAAGTAATCACTTCAAAACTGCAGCATATACTGAGAGGATTTGGTGCAATGCGATGCAATAAAAATTAGTAAGACTTTCATGTCGAAAGCTTTAAACAACTCTACTTATAAGATTATTAGTCTATGAAAAATTCGAATTGATTAAAAATCATGCATTAAAAACTCACGAAATAGATTAAATAATATGAAGATTGTACTATAGTTGACTAAAAAAAAGTGAACCTATCAGATAAATTTTAAAGAAACTTGTACGGATTGATATAAGAAGTTTGTATGGAATATTATGATACAAAAATCGTTGATATAATTACATATAAATAATCTTAATTATTAATTATTTTATCTTAGTATTAGGACTTAGTACTGTTTTATATTACATAGTATTAACAAAGAGTATGTTTAGGGTGTTGTGTTTAACTTGATAAATATGCAGCACTATTTGCACTTTTACATACAATATTCATACAAAATCCATACAAAAATATGCAGAAGTTGTTCTATAAGTCAAAGTGTAAACATAGTATTGAACTATATATTATTGTTGTGAACGACAAATAGAAAATCAAAAAATAGTTTCTAGTTAGTTCAATATGGTTGACTTTACTCCACGTCACCTAGTTACCTTTCTACCTATTATTGTTTTTTAACTTTCAGAATAATATTTATAATATTATAACATATAAATGTAATATACATAAGATTTTAATATAGATTGCATAAAAATATGAGTATATATGAAACATGTACTAATATAAAAGTATAAAATAATGGAAGTATAAAATAATGAGATATCAATTACTAACAATTGATTAGTATTTTTTAATAGGTATGATCTCCACTCTACTCTATTAAGAGCAAGATGTTAATTAAGTTTGCAATATGTATTATTAGTAGTATATTTCACTGGAAACACTTTTTAATTATGTTAGTAAAACGCTATTAATATTAAATAATAATTATTTAAATTAATTTACTATTCAATACAATGAATTTAAAAGTATCTTTAATATGTTGGGCCTCAATTTTCCCACACCTGATTTATTAAGAAGCAAAATTGAATATTTGCATTTCTTGTTTTTTGTTGCGAGTTTATTTCTTATTGCCAATTTGGGAAAAACCGTACAAAATCCATTCTCCGAAGCAGTTAAAAGCTTTATGGAGTCGGTATCTACTCACTTTTTCATTGTTGACTTAAAAGTCGAAAAATAAGAGAGAGAGTAACAACCAAAATAAAAAATAAAAACTTTATTTGTAATTCAGATGAATAATTAAGTTTATTATAGATACGAGTATGTTACATATTCTCTTCATATGTGCGCTCCATTAAAAGAGTAACTGAGATACTCTTATATGCGCGATCACAGATACATTTTGAAAGTGCGGAAGAAACGGAATTTGTAATTTAAAGCAACTCAGTTGTAAACTTAAGCGGTTGCACTTGAACATATGCCGATATATGTACTCATATATGGGCACATCAATACAATATATGTACATATATTTCAAAAGAACAGTTAATTAATTAATATTAATTATTGAATAATACATTTCGTTGAAATTTA